AAGCATTTATCCAACAGATCACAGTAAATACATAATGCATGCCACCGTACAATCTCAAATTTGGATCTTCCCATAAAAACTGTCGTGTGTGTGTGTGTGTGTGTATAAAACAGAAAGAAAAGACCCAAATGACGCAACTCTGAACTCTGATGCCTACAAACTCAATGAATTTTATACTTAACCAATTCAATAATGTTTACTATTTCATCTCCTGTCCTCAGAAGTTTGGAAGTTAGGAACTACCTAAATATTTGGCTCTAACGTATATAGTTTTAGTTCAAATGGAACTTCGGCCTAACTTAACCCTATAAGATGTAAGCAATCTTTAATCTTCTAAGGTAACTTTAACCTATCAGTTATCACTTGATTCAATCCAAATTGTTTGTAAACCCATGCATACCGGCTTAGCCATAATTATGGAATTTAACTGTAAAGTTAAAGAAATCAACTTTAGAATATAGGCAATGATAATCATAGTCGTCCTGTAAAGTTATCCACAAAGCGAAGGCTTAAAAATACAGCTAGAGCATATGAACTACCAAGTATCAACAGCTTTGAAGAGGTGATCAAACAAAATAGACACTAAATAGGAACATCGTATGCCCCAAAATGTTCTCAGAACAAAAGTGGGTGAAGCACCTCTTATCCACCATATCCCAACAATTAATTCTGTCAAGATCCAAACTAACCATGAAGACCTCAAGAAATCTCCCCCCAACTCACCAAGAAAATTGAGGTTTACCTAGAACATGAACTAGATTTTCCAACCCCCACCTACAAAAAACAAGCCACTAACGACCAGCTAAGGGAAATAATCACATCTTTGAATGGAACCTTCTTGAGTTTTTTAAAGAGCGGGGTAGAGGAGGAAAAGGAGGGTTGAGCAAGCAGGGAACAAAAGAAGGATATTCAAGAGAGGTCCGTGAAGAATTTTGGTTCCAAATATAAAAGTCACCAAAGTTTGGACAAAGGAAGATACCATGCAACAACAGAAGTGAAGTTAGTCCCAAAAACTCAGATAAAAAAGTGACCACCTAAAATGGAAGTTATGAAAAAGAGGGAGGATCACCATTCCACAACAAGACAAAATTAACAAAAGCATCTTTCCATACACATGTCATACCGAGAGAGAGTATGGAAGGTGCCATTGTCAATTTTTTTAAAAGGAAACAGAACTTTTCATTTAAATAATAAAAAGAGACTAATGCTGAAACCTAAAAGAAACCAAAAGGAAATTAACAAAATAGAAAAAATACATTAAAAAACCAGATTACAAAGGAAAGATGAACGCATTTCAATAATTCTGGCACAATACCAAATATGGAAAATAAATAGCAAAAACAAATAAATACTTTTCATTGGAAGGTGTCATTGCCAATCCAGTGATCCTCTTAAAAAGGAATACGAGACGCATCCCCAACAAAGTACTTAAATAACTTTTTAAAAACAGGAAGTCAGTGTATGACTTCAGTGAAAAATGTCTTCGGCAATTGATTCTTCTCATAGGTTCTGTTCTATACATGGGAAGGGGAAAAAAAAAAAAAAAAAAAAAAGAGATGTAGAAGCTTTATTGTTATTGAACGAGCATTTTAAGGGGAACGAGTAAATCAATTCTAGAGATGTGAATTTAATTGCCAATACTAAAAAGAAAAAAATGAATGTACTTCCATTTTCTGTTTTCTGTTTCTTTAACTTCATGATTTTAAAATGAAGCTTTAAACTATTTTGAAACCAGATAAATACAACAGTAGCAAATTTCATAAATCAAGGACTAGGATGCTTTTATAAATATCAAAAGAAGAACAATCTGAGTTATAGTTGTTTGAGCAGCAAAAGACATCACGGAGACTGACAAAGAAAAATACAGTAACCTCTCAATTCCTATATTAATAAGTAAACTTTTGTGTTCATATTGAAGATCCTAGCAATAATTCTCACACAACTCCAAATATGAAGAATAAAGGAAATGGCTATACAACTCCAGGTGAAGGTGAAACCATAGAAGTTAGGATGCAAGTATCTAAAGAAATTGTAGTAAAACCAAAGAAATAGTAGTGAATAGATATACCTCTGAAAGATTAACCCACTCCCATGTCTCATTGGCAGAACCGATATCATACACCAAGGCATGTCGTCCCTGAGTATACACAGATGTACTTAAGCAACTTTCCGTAATGAAACATGAATTAGTATACGAGTAGAAGATAGTTTACCTCCGCAGCATTGTAATCAGTTATAACAGCTTCATAAAAATTATTATCATCCGGCCATCTAGTTCTCACTTTCCTCCCAATTAGTGGATTCAATGTTGCTCCTTCAACTGGCTCAATAGCTCCGGAAGAAACCCTATTAGCAACTTGACTCCTACCACTAGGAACTGAAGTTTGGTACTGTTTGGCTGAAGATGCCCCAGGTAACATCTGAGGAAGGAAAATAAAATGAAGGAATAAATAAACAAAAGAAAATTAAGAATAAATAGAGCCACAAAATTCATGAATCTGAAACTTACAGATTTTTGTTTTTTGCCCTTGGGTGTGGGGATAGCTCCTCTTTTTGCAACAGATGAGGATGGCTGATGAGAAGGAGCAACAGTTTGTTGGTGAAAGGATTGAGACGGCCCAGTAAAGGACTGTGGAGGTACCAAATGGGTTAGTTTCTGTTTCTTGCGAGATGCAGAAACAGTAGGGCTGGGTATTGGATCATGAATGGCTTGACTGGTACTGAGCTTGCCAGGCTGATGCCCACCTGCCTGTCTCCACTCCCTACGACATGACCCAAAAGTATCCATCGATATTTAAAAGAGCCTTCAAAACTACAAACCTAAAATATATGGTTTTTTTTTTCGTTTTTGTTCATGTTATCAAACCTTATACTTCTAATCACGTCATCTGCATTAACCCGTCCAAGAAGTTCTCTGTGCTCCTCATTTGACAATCTTAACTCTTTTCTAAGTTCTGTGATCAAACTTTCTTTCTCCTGAAGAAAACACATTTCATGTAGCAATCATTTAAACCTGATCAAACAAATACCAATATTAGATACTTGAAATAGAAACAAAAAGTACCCAAGTAATGGCATCAGCTTGAGCTTTAAAGGCTCTAAGAACAGAACTGTAAGCTTCCTTCTCAAGTTGATGAATTTGGGCTTCCATGTCAGTTTCACCGTACATCCTGGGATATGGAACAGAACCCATGACTGATCTTCCATTCCCTGAAACACGACCCCCTCCTCCTCTTGCAATTCTATTCTGGTGAGATGGAGGGAGATCGTCATCAGTTCCTGAAATCAATGGTGCAATAAAAATATTAGACCATGTAGCTGGATCCAAATTATACATGCCAGGGACAAATGTAGTCACTGTCTTCCTGAAACAAAACAGTTAAGAGACCAAACCATAGATGAAGAATTCGAAAAAAAAATAATACTAGTTCCTAATCTAAATAGGTTAAGAAAGGTTTTCACATGATGCTAAGGAAGTAGTGGATAGCTTCAAAAGGGAAGAAGGTCAGTAGTCTAAGTCTAGCGTTCAACGGAGATCATCAACATGTGATGCGAACTGTGTATATGAGTTAATAACTGATAAACTAGTTCCTTCACAAATAATTTTAAATGCTAAAAAACCCAACAGCCACTTAGCTAAACAACTACCAACAATTTTATGCTTGGTCTGCCGTCAACCAGCTCGTCGTGATTCATTCTTGAGAAGTAACAGTTATTGAGAAAATGAAGTGTCGCGAGCTGAAAGCTGATGTAATGTCCTAATATCTTTCCTAACTATTTCCTTGAGAACATATTTAAACAGATACGAGTATAACCTTGAAGAAGAAAGAGAAAAAAACGAAAAGCCAATGCCTTAATTAAATACATCTAAAATCAATTCATAACTACATTTCAACAGCTTTCACATTCTGGAGCGATATTGCAACAGTTCTGAGGTTTAAGTTCGTAAATACAAAAGGTCAAAATTTTTACATCCCAATACATCCTGCGGGTAACCACCTGCAACGTCAATGAAGTCAAGAATTTGCCGAAGAAAGATGCAAAAGATGAAGGATTCCCTCAAAACTACTGTATAATGTTAAAAACTTCGAATGTTCCTCCAAGCATCCTACAACCTCAATCGATACTATCATCCCCCCAAGCCCCGGAAAGCAAGATTGAAATCCCAATTCTAAAAATCTAAACGGCATCATAAATTCCTAGAGAGAACACCTGAAAACCCTAATAACTAAAGAAAAAGCATCGTTAGAGTTAACTTACCGCTACTATCATAGGGCTCGTAATCCATAGCCAGTTCGCAACCGACCAAAAACCCTCGCAAACACTCAGAAAGACAGCAGCAAGAATAATGTAGAAAAAGAAATCGAAGAGAGCAGAAGATAGGAAGAGCGATAAATGAGGAGTTGGAGCTCAAATCTGTTGAAAGAAGACGAATCTCCGACGAAGTGCGAAGAACTTCAGGCTGTGATTGGCGTTGAAGTGGAGGAATTTGAGTGAATCACGTAAAATGGAAATCGACGGCGATGTAGAATGATAACACTCAGCTCCTGACCTGAGTTCGGGACTGAGTTTGTGTGTACAAGAACAATTTTTTGGTCATCAAAATTAGACGAAGGTTTTTTTCTTTCCCTAATAAAAGGGACAGACGGATGTGAACTCGATTTACAGCCGAATTATTTATGAGCTTATAGTTGCTTTCAATTCCGCTTGCGATCTTTCTCCGGCCCAATTCAATCTCTTGGGCTCAGATTGGGCTTGGTCTTGGGCTTGGGCTTGGGCTTGGGCTTGGGCTGAAAATATCTTATTATATTTTTAAAAAATTATTTATTTATTTTATTGGAAATCATTTTCATAAAATTATCTTAATTGTTTTGTTTATTATTTCATTTATTTATTTTATAAAATGTTGTAGCCCAATTCAAGTTTGGGCTTTCTATTGTATCAGCCCACGCTTTAAAGTTGTTTCAATGTAACGAATTGCAATGGTGCAAATAAAATCATATAAAACAGATTTAAATTACGAAACCTAGTCGTCGTCGCCGGCGAAATTCGGAACCGGCGCCCTCTCTAGTGTCTACGATGGCTGAAGGAGATACAGTAGTAACAGCGGCAGCCGCAGCAGCTTCCACGAGCTTCAACCGCGAAGGATCATCTCTTTGCGAAGAGTGTAATTCGAACCCGTCGAAGTACAAGTGCCCCGCTTGCTCTTTGCGTTCTTGTAGTCTTGATTGCGTCAATGGCCACAAGCGGCGCAGTGGCTGTACTGGAAAAAGGAAGCAGACTCAATTCGTCCCGATTTCTCAGTTCAACGATAGTGTCCTTCTTTCCGGTACTTCAATCCACCCCTGTATTCATATCGCTGGTTTCAAGTGTTTCAATTCATACTGATTTTGGTTTTATTAGAATATTTGCGTTTCCAGTTCTCGTAAAGTAAACTTGAATTTGTAGATTGGTTTAGTCTTTTTGATCTGTTAGCTGATTTGGGTATTGTTCGTAATTGTATTTTTTGGAACGTATTTAATAATTTGTTTGAATTTAAGTCATTAGATGATATTTGATCAAGTTGTGTAGTTTGATATGATTTGTGGGAGTAATTTGTTAAGTAATTTCTGGTAATATCCGTGTTCTTATGTCCCTAACAATGGATTTGGTGCTCGTTTTACCATGCGTAGATTATAATTTGCTTGAGGAAGTGAAGAGGATGGCTGAATCTGCTCAAAGACTTAGAAAGAAATTGTGTCCCTATACTCATCCTTATTATAGGCTACCATTTCACCTTAAAAGTTTGCGCACTGCTGCTTCAAGCCGGAGAACAAAAATAATGTTTCTCCCCACTGGAATGACAAAAAGGGAGAAAAATCAAACTCGATATGATAAGAGGTTACTTTCTCTTTATTTATCTATCTATTGGCTGCTTAAAAAGTTGCATCATCATACATTGAGTAATTCGATTGGTTGAATTACAACCCTAAAGAGCTATTAGTAGATATTTGGATGTCTTGTTTTTGTTATCTATATTTTCAAAAACTTGATTTTGTTTTAAATTTTGGCTAAGAATTAAAATGTTCTCTTAAGAACGATGAAAGTCATTGTCGATAAATGATGAGAAAATAATTATGATCTCCCAAAAGCAAATATACAAAACCAAATGTTTATCAAACGAGACCTAAATTTTTATATTTCATGTTAGTAATTGTAGTTTGTTGTAAGAATGGAATTAGCCATACTCATACTGATGAATCATGAAGCACCAAACCTAAGAAGTTTTTTTGCTTACAGGGAAAAAACAATCTTCTGGACAATCGAGTGGCGGTTAAACTCTACAGATGTTGTTTTAGTTGACCACGGGTGAGTTTTCTTCCCCGAGCCACTGTAAGGATAGTAATTTATTTTGCTATTTTGGTTCTTTCCTCGAAGTTCATGGCAAGTGAACTTTTATTTGGGATGCATGCTTTAAAAATATTTTCCTTCTCCTGCAGAGTTAATGAAAACACAAATCTGTCTACCGTTCTTGAAAACCATCTACAACCAAGCCCATGGAAGAATCAAATTCAGAAGTTCTGTGAGCAGCTGGATAGCCTCAAATTTTTTGTCCGTACATACCCCAAGGTTATTGTTCAATTCTTATGGGTTGTCTCTCAAGTATTTCATAATCAGTCAATTAGTAGTGTAGCTAGTGCATTTCTCTGGTGACCTTTAATCATATTTTTATACATTATGCACTGGGATACGGTGTGCTTCTACGTGAAAGTCAGCTTGTGATTTGCCTATCATGTCATTAATGGGTAGAGATTCATGTAGATTTTTTGTTATACATAGGAGATAGTTACTATTATTGATATGGATAAAAGGTAATGTAACCTGTTATTGGGCTTATTGTGAGATTCAACATAGAAATGAAACATTCTTTATTAGGGTATGGAAACTTCTCCCTAGCAGACGCGTTTTAAAAACCGTGAGAGAAAGCCTGAAAGAGAAAGTCCAAAAGGACAATATCGGCTAGTGGTAGGCTTGGGCTGTTACAAATGGTATCAGAGCAAGACACCGAGCGATATACTCGGGAGGAGGCTGAGCACCGAAGAGAGGTGGATACAAGGCAGTGTGCCAGCAAGAACGCTGGGCCCCGAGGGGGTCCCACATTGGTTGGGGAGGAGAACGATACATTTTTTATAAGGGTGTGGAAACCTCTCTCTAGCAGATTCGTTTTAAAGTCCTTGAGGGGAAGCCTGAGCTTGGGCTATTACACCTACTTCTAGGATAGCATTAGTGTGCATGCTTGAGCTTTGAATGTTTAATTTTTTATCAATTGGCTTATTAAAGTATTCCTTAAAGACAGGTTGCATCGTTGCTATTTGCTTGAAATAATTCCCGATTGCTTCTTTTATCGAAACTTGATTTTCTTTTATTATGTTTAATATGTATATAGGGAGCTATGGTGCCATTCCGTGAGCTGGACTCAAAGATGCCAATAAGACAACTGTTTTCGAATTTGGTTTTTGTGGAATACCCTGTTATATATGTTTTTCTACCCTCTCAAACGCCTAACTTTGAAGTGCTTAAAACTGCAAATCCAGTGAGTCATAATCCGGAAGGTAAAAACACTGGAAAAAATGATCTTGGCAGTCCTGAAGGCGTTCGCTTCAGGGTGGAAGAAATTGAAGACGATGACAATTCCTTCAATACTCAGGTGCTTGATCTGATGAAAGCATCAAATTCAAGCCCATACTGTGAAGTTGAGCCCCAAAATGTGCTTGGTGCAACACATAATTACTCTACAGATTTGATGGGGAAGCATGAAGTTGGGAATAGCCCCAATTCAAGCTCCCAGGCTAAGGAGCTAGGAGTTCTTAAAGAATTGGAGTTCGATTTCGAGCAAGATCTAATGGATACATATTCAAATATCATGGCACAGATCAATCCAGACGATTTTCTCGACTGGGACGAAGACTTCTCCAAGGGAGTAGAAATGGAAGGAAGTGGTGACCTTCTTGGGGACGTGTTCACAGTGGATGAATTGGAGGAAGGAGAGATTATGGAATAGTGAATTGGGATATTCTCCTTTTGGTTGCATGCAGGTAAATCTTGAACCATTTTACTTGGTTGATTTGGCAATCTCAGCAAGCAACGCCTTGCATTTTGGCCCATGTTTAGATTAGGACATGCTGGAGCTTGGCCTTGCTGCTGTTTACAATTTTTGCTAATCTTTATTTGATTTATTACATCAATGAGTTTGTATGATAACAAGTATCTCATGGAATTTTATACATTCATCCGTTCCGTTTTGTTTAACTAGGATTTTGTTTCAAAATTACTCTTAAGCGTAAAATATAATATTAGAATATTGGTTCGAAGGTTCATATGATGGTGACAACTTAAAATGGCTTTGCACGGAATGAAATGCTTGGATTCGATTCATTAAAATTTTTGATGAAATGCTTACTTGGATTCAGCTTCGATTTCTAGCTTGAATTCGTCATCTTCGATTTTTAGCTCCCAAATTCTCTATGTACTCATTTACCACTTTCTTAGGGTTTTTTTTCATTAACCCTTACGTTTGAAGTTAATCTAGGATTATATGTTTGCCTTAAACTTTTAAATTTATCTTTCGCATTAATGTAGCACTAGCATTGAAAATTTAAGGTCGGCTATAGGTAGTAAGCTAGGCTATAGTGTTTGTGTTGCGTAAAAAGAAAAATTAAAATGACCCGTGAATAAAATCTTAACATTATACATCGAAAAATTAATGATAAGAATATCTTTGTTGAGTTCGAATATGTAAGCAGTGACGATTGAGCTGGAGCTCTGGAGCTCTTAACAAGCACTCTTAGTATCAGATCCAATGATCAAAGGTGTGGATAACGAGGCCATTAAAATATTTTATACTTCTTATAATTTATTTATTTTATTAAAATAAAAATAAATACAAGATTTATTTAGAAAAATGAACACCACGCTAGTTGACTTCCTTAAAACGACCCTCTCTTTTAAGACTAATGGCATTAAAGAAACCTTTCTCCAAATTGTTATCTTTTATATATTATAATCTTTCCCACGTTCTGTCCTATTTTATCCCCTTTTATTTATTTCATTTAATTTTTTTAATACACTAAATTTTTTTTTTTAAAAAAAACGTACATATTTATCTTTATTTTAAAAATATTTGTAAATTTTTAAAAGTTTCAATTATATCATTAAATTAAAAAAAAATGCTCGATTAACTTTCAAAAATTAAAATGAAATTCCAATACCAAAATAATCAATTTTTTAAAGTTATTTTGAGTTGAAAAAAAAAAACGAGTTTAAAAACAACTCATATAAAACTTATATTACTTAATTATTGATTGATGTTAATCTTCGTAAAAAAGTCATTTTTTAATGGATAGGTTAAATTTTTATGATCACTCCATTAAATTTAATTGAATATATTAAATTAAAGTGGTAAATATTAATAAACCCAATGATTTTTTTTTTTTTTTTTTACTAGATAAAAATTTTAAATTAAAGACAAATTAAAAACTTTAAAAAGATCAAATATTAAATTGAAAATTATAGCAACCATTTAAGATTGGGACTATTGAGCATATTTTATATAATTTTAATTATTTTAAAAATGTTTCTTCAATCTTACTCTGATTCTCTGTTTTTTTTAATAATAATATTTATGGATTCCCATCCCAAAGAGATAAGCATATGGACCAAATTACATTTATAATTCTATTAATTAAACTCTTAAACTTTTTTAAATAATTAATTTACACGTTCTAGATTTTCTGAAAAACTCCACATCAAACGGATTTTTAATTAATAAAAAATCATTAAAAATATTTTTCTCAAATTTCTTATTAAAAAATGTCGTATCTGTCGTAATTTAAAAAATAAATCCCCACATGTACCTCCCCACATATATTTTAAATAATTAAAAATTAGTTTTCATTTTTTTATAATTTTAAATGCAAGTTGGTTTTATTCAAATTGTTTAAAAGGTTATATTTAAGTTATTGGATATTCTTATTTATTAATTAATTAAAAAAATATTGTATTAATTTCTCAAATTTAATTAGATGGAAACAAAATATTTAAATCTAGTAAAGATTAGACCGTCCCAACGCATTTTATAAATAATATTAATCCGTTTTATTTTTAATTATAATGCATTGTAAATATATATTAGTCAGTATAATATCAGTTAAAAAGTAATTATCTAATAGAATAATATTAATTTAGGAAGAAAAAAAAAAAAGGAGTGGGTGAAAATAGTATTATTAATTTAATTCTCCTTCTGGCAAGTAAAGACAGCTTTAGTCAACCAAATAATGCAGGGTGACGTGTCTGCACCATCCTTATTTATTTAATAGTTGTAATATTTTAATAATATAAATTAAATCTCCAAGTTATTTTTTCTTTTAATAATTAGAATAATTAATTAATTAATTAATTATTTAATTAATCTAGATTTGAACCTCAAATAATTTATATATATATATATATATATATATATATATATATATATATAGCTATCTACTTAGTTATTTTATTTTATAAATGATCCAATTAGTCTTCATCACGTATTCACATGCATATTCACAAAATCAAACACACCAATGAAATCATACTAATATTATTTTTGTGATTTTTTTAGTCAAAATCAACGACAATCATTGACTTGATCATACTAATTTAGCTACGGTTTATTTTTTGAGACCAAAGGAACATGGATAGTTACTACCTATAATAAAATGCTATTAGGTGATTAAAAGAAGGTTAGGTTACCTGATCCTTTAACATAAATGCAGGATCGTTTCTTTCTTCACGGTATGGATTTAGATAGAAATATTTTAATTTTGAAAATTCAAGGTTTAAATTGAAAACTATGAATGAAGAAGAGGCAACGACGTTTAAGAAGGTCTTTTTTATTCTAAACCGTCATTGACTTGATCAATACTCGATGATCCAACCTGTGAAGTTCAATTTTTCAAGATTTTTAGCTAACAAGAGCCACTTAAATCAATCATATTTAAATTTTTTAAAAAATTAGTGCTAATACTAACAAAAACAAGTATTATTATAATAATAATAATAATAATAATAATAATAATAATAATAATAATAATAATAATAATAATAATAATAATAATAAGTGGAAGAGCTCTTCATATTAAACATAATTCAGTTGTCATTAATTAAATAAATTTATTTGGTTAATATCATACTCTTTAATGATGCTGCAATAGCAAATAGTGATATGTAAATTTTATGTAATCGGTCGTATTAAAAATATATGAAAATAAATAAATAAAAATGTCATGCCGTCCAAAGTTATCCGTTACCTCCGGCTCATTATTTAAAGGCGAGTTGGGGTTGAGGATCCGCACAAGATCCGACGACAAGTTGCAGCATGGCGGCAGCGAGTAACGCTCCGGTGCTTCTGATAACGCTCATTGCGGCTGCAATTGCCGGCGGCGCTTTGGCTGATGGTAGGAACAGCCCTTCCGTGGAGCCGAGTCATACTTCAGTTCCGTTCAACCGGAGCAGTTTCCCGGCGGGTTTTCTATTCGGAGCTGGCTCCGCCGCCTACCAGGTTTTCCCCTCTCTCTCTCTCCGCCTCTCTCTCCGCCGCCTTCCAGAGCACCGACATTGCCAGTTTTTTTTGTTTGCAGTTAGAAGGAGCAGCTAGTAAAGATGGAAGAGGTCCAAGTATTTGGGATACTTTCACTAAGAACCACCCAGGTCTTGTTCTTCATTACCAATAATTTTAATTTATGGCTAAATTAATTTTTTTTTTAAAAGTGTTTATTTTATTTTATAAACAGTTTACAAAATAGGGTAGAAAGTGTTTTTGAGTAATTAAAAATGCATTTTATATTTTATATTTTATATTTTTAGTTGATGGGTTATTGAATTAAATGATCAGAAAAAATATGGGACCATAGCAGTGGAGAAGTGGCTACCGATTTCTACCATCGTTATAAGGTATTATTTTTGCACTCTTATTTTTCACTTTATCATAACCTAAAAACCTTTTTATATTTAATCACGTCCATGTCTACAATTATATTATTTTCATTAAATTACAATATCAATATTTAAATTTTTTAGATGGGTCAAATACGTCTCTTAACTATTAATTATATGACTCAAAAATCTAACTGACAAACAATATAAAATATAAACTTGATTTTTTTAAAAAAATAATAATTTAAAAATAATTCAACCAAAAATAGATGGTGAATTGAATTGAAGTGTGAATTCTATTTAAATTAACTATTAAACTCAAATAAAATTTCGCCATTACTCTAATTTATATATATTTTATTATTATTAAAAGTAAATTAATAATATTGGATTATAATTATAATTATATATATTAAAAAATTGTGATTTAATTGGTAGGAGGACGTGCAAATAATGAAAAAGATGGGGTTGGACTCTTTCAGATTCTCCATCTCTTGGTCAAGGATTCTCCCCAGTAAGTTTTTTTTTTTTTTTTAACCCAAAATTTATTTATTTCCATTTCCATCGGTAAATTTTTGTTTTTTACCGTTTTATTTTTCCTTCGAAAAAAAAAATGACAGAGGGAAGCATTCGTGGAGGAGTGAATCCACTTGGCGTCAAATTTTACAACAATCTCATCAATGAGCTCCTCGCCAATGGTAAAAAAAATTAAAAAGAGGTTAATTTTATTATTAAGTTAAGGTGAGAATTATATTTTTTTATATATTGTAAATAATTATTTGTTGTGAAAAAAAAAAAAAAACAGGAATAATACCTTACGTCACTCTTTTTCATTGGGATCTTCCTCAAGCGCTTGAAGACGAGTACAATGGATTTCGAAACGTGAAAATTGTGTAAGTAAAATAATTAAGTTTATTATAATGGTAATACACATAAAACTTAATTTTATATTAAACAATTTTCTTAATTTAAAAATATTAAATATGTGAAGAATGTCAAATTAAAACTTTTATTGTAATTAATAAAAATTAATTAATGTAATTTTGGTGATTAAACAGGAATGATTTTGGGAATTACGCGGACTTATGCTTCAAATTATTCGGCGATCGGGTCAAGTATTGGACAACCCTTAACGAACCATATTCATTTAGCGTTTTTGGGTACAACAGCGGCACTTTCGCTCCTGGAAGATGTTCCAACTACGTCGGAAATTGCACCGCCGGCAACTCCGGCACCGAGCCTTACATCGTCGCTCACAATCTCCTCCTCGCCCACGCCGCTGCCGTCAAAGTCTACAGGACAAAGTACCAGGTCAGTATTCAAGAACAAATCCCTAAATCAATCTCTTCATTGTTAATCAGATTCTTGTTTTGGACACCGATTTCGCTAATTCGGATTC